TGTAATCTCATTCAAAAATATGTAAGAAGTGTAAAAGAGATTAAGCATCGAAAGACTTATTGAAAGGTGACAAAGCAAAATTTCATTTCTTGCTTGTTTTTGCTCCAAATTGCACCGTTTTTTCATCTTTTTGTTCCAATCACCATAATTCATCATACTTGAAATAAAACATCAAAAATACCCTTCTTTAAAGTGCAATATCATCAAAAACAATGTAAAATAGGTATGAAAATCTCAATATTTTTTTTTGTCAAAACTTTCCCTAATGAAAAACTTTATAATATTAATGAGTGGAAAATATCATGGTATGCTGATATTATTAATTATGTCGTAAGTGATATTTTGTCACCTATGTTGACATTGCAACAACAAAAAAAATTCATTCATCATGCAAAAGCATATTTTTAGGATGAACCTTATTTATATAAACAATGTAAGGATCTTATTATGAGAAGATGTGTACCTTATGAAGAACCTGAACTAATCATTCAGAAATGTTATGATTCTGAATTTGGAGGACATTTTGGGATTGATAAAACTGTTTATAAAATTTTACAAGCTGGATTCTATTGATCTACTCTGTTTAGAGATGTTTACAAATACATAAAAACTTGTGATCGATGCCAACGAGTAGACAATATATCTAGAAGAAATGAAATGCCTCTGAATTTCATGTTAGAAGTTGAGATCTTTGATGTTTGGGGATTAGATTTCATGGGACTATTTATTCCTTCATTTTGGAACTTATATATATTAAATGTAGTAGACTACGTTTCAAAGTGGGTTGAAGCTCAAGCTTTACATCGTTGTGACGCTAAAAGTGTTTCAAGATTTTTAATGAAAAATAGTTTCACTAGATACAGAATGTCGAGAATGATTATCATTGACGGATGATCCCATTTTAAGAATAAATACATTCAGAGATTGACAGAAAAGTTTAATATTATTCATAGAATCTCTACTTCCTATCACCCTCAAACCAGTGGGTTAGCTGAAGTTTCTAATAGAGAGATTAAACAAATATTTGAAAAAATTGTAAACCCTAGTAGAATAGATTGGTCTACTAGACTGGATACCGCATTATGGGCTTACATGACTGCTTATAAAACTCCTATTGGAATGACTCCTTACAGACTAATTTTTGGAAAGACTTGTCACTTACCAGTAGAATTGGAGCATAAAGGATATTGACAATTAAAGAATTCAATTATAATTTGAAAGATGCTGGTGAGAAGAGATTGTTACAATTGAATGAATTGGAAGAATTAAGAAATAAATCTTATGATAACAATAGACTTTATAAGGGGAAACTAAAGTTATGACATGATCATAAGATTAACCAGAAGAACTTTGAACCAGGACAAGAAGTTTTGCTTTACAACACAAGTCTAAAGTTATTCCCTGGGAAATTAAAGTATCGTTGGTTAGGACCCTTTACTGTGAGTCAAGTTTATACTTATGGAGCTGTTGAAATTAAAGATTAAAAGACTGGGAATAGATTTAAAGTAAATGGACACATATTAAAACCGTATTTTGAGGGTAAAAGACCAAATTTTAAAGAGGTTTTAATGATCAGTCAACCTGAGTAATACCTGAATAGGTCGGGCTGACGACGT